CCCCCACAAGACCCTCTGGTAGCCCACGGGCACTCGGGGAGTGGCTGCGGGGGCCGGGGTGCGGATCCTGAGGTTCGGTTCCGCGTGTAGGAGTGAGGCTCGAATGCTGCCGCCATCTCCCAGCGCAGCCAGAAACGGAAGGTCTGCCTGCTGCCCAGCCAGGAGGCCTGAGAGCAGCTGCCATCTGGCACCAGGAGAGTGCTGCAGGGCCAGCTGGCAGCGGGGCTGGGCAGAGCCTCCTGCCAGCTGGCACCATGGCGAGAGCATCCCTGGCTTGCTCCAGCTCCTCTGCAGGGCCTTGGCAGTGGCTGCCCAGTCCTTCCACAGGGGGAGTCCTGGCACACGCGCTGGCCCCGGGCGTCTGCAGGACAGCCTCCGCGTGTCTCGCTGGACAAGGGCTGAGCCAAGGAGGCGTGCGGAGATGGAAGCACGTACCTCCTGCACTACCGAGACCAGAAAGGTAGCCCCTGGAGCCTGGGACACGCTGTGTGTATACAGTGCACATGGGTGCCAGGACTTCCTAAGAACAGAATATAAAATTCTCATGAATACTGTGTGCACTGGGGACTAGCAGACGGCATAAAGGTTATGTTGCTAGATTCCCACGTAGTCTACCACGGTTCGAGTCCCAGACCCGGCAGCTTGAAACTCATGCCAGGTGCATGTGCATGCATGCCCCAAATCCCAAGAGAATGGAGGAGAAGGCATTGCAGTGTGGCCATCTCCCTCTCTCTCTCTCTCTTTCTCCGGCAAGTGCACATGCCCTATAGCAAAAAAAAAAAAAAAAAAAAAAAATCTCTCTTTCAAAAATTGTGTACAGTGACTATATATTTACATGATATTATTTTGGATGTATTAGGTTAAATTTAAAATATTATTTCACTTTTTTTTTTTTTTGGTAAGACGGCTGCTAGGAAATTTCAGCTGCCCCGAGTAGCTCTCGCTTGGGCCTGGCAACCTCCTTCCACTGGACAGAGCCGCATGAGACTGGCCTTCAGGGGAGCCCGGCAGGTGAGCAGAGCAGGTAGCCGGTGCCCGGCTCACCAGGGAGGAGCCCAAGCCCGTCCACGCACTCGTCCATCTGTCGCTCCTCGCTCAATATCGAGCCACTGTGCGCAGGCATCAGAATAGAGAGGAGCAAAGCAGTCATGTCAGACCTCAGACGGAACGTGGCCTGCCCGAGAGCGAGCTAGGAGGGCTGCAGGCGAATTCACTCCCAGACTTCAGATGCCAAGTTCAGGAGCCTTTTCAGGAGCCTTTTCCCTACCCCCCCATGGCACAGAGGTAGCTGGTACCAGGATCAAGTCACACACACGGCTGAAAAATTCTAACCCCTTCATTTTCCTTCTCTGGGGCCTTCAGATCTCCTTACTGGAAAGAGCGGGGCGGGAGGACCAGCAGATGGCCTAATGGTGATGTCGCTGGACTCCCACATAGCTGACCACAGTTCGAGTCCCAGACCAGGCCTGTGTGCGTGCATGCCTGAAATCCCAAGAGGAGAACGGAGAAGGCTGTGATGTGGCCAACCCCGTGTGCGGTGATTTCTTGCTTTCTGTTTCATTCTGGTGAGCGCATGTGCCCTATAGCAAAAATCTCTCTTAAAAAAAGAGAGAGAGAGAGAGATCTGGGCTCTCGTGGTAGCTCTGCCACGTTAGAGCTCCAGCATCCTCAGTGTTCCGATGGGGACAGCTACAGCACCCACCGAGGGTCGCCCCACAGATGAAGAGAGAACTAACGCAGCCGGGGCCTGTGGTCAGCACTCGCACACCTCCCCCCCTTTCCATAGGACTAAGTTTTTCTGCTAGTGTCGGTTTCTCCTTTCAGATTCAAGGCCAAGGTCAGTATCTATTTCCCTTTCTAAATGTGGTTCTCTACAGTCCTCACTCTGCCTGGCACGTGTGTGACCCCCCCTGGGCTGGGACCAAGACCCTGGTGGAGTGCTGCATCTCTCTCTGTCTCTGTCTCTCTCACTCACAGAATAAATAAAACTAAAGACATGCATCCCTGATTATCCGCAGGACCAGAAGCGAGGAGTACAAAGTGGAGCCCCAATGCCTAACCTGCAGACCTGGGGGTAGAAGTCAGGGGAGGAGCAGGTCTGGAACTAGGATACACAGAACTGCAATGAAAACTTTATAAGCAGGGGCCAGCAGGTGGCGTGGTGGTTAAGGCACTGACACTCCCACATGGCCGATGACAGTTTGAGTCCCAGATCTGATGGTTTGCTTTCTCGCTTTCCCTCTCTCTGTCTCTCTCTGGTCGAATCAAAATAAACGAGTGAATGAATAAAAGAAAAGAAAAGAAAAATACTTTATAAGCAGTTGTGACATAGGCTAGGCAAAAAACGCTCTCAAAGACATCCACGTCCTGGTCCCTGGAACCCATGAATTCATTACCTTGCACAGCTAAAAGGACCCTGCAGATGTGGTTAGATTAAGGGTCTCGGGATGGGTACTCTACTGGCTTTTTGGGGTGGGCCAATGTCATTGCAAGGGTCCACAAGGGGGGAGGAGGGAGGAGAGTCCAGTTCAGAAGAGGAGACTCGGGGGGCCTGGGACACAGCGTGAGAAAGACTCAATAGCCATTCTGTCTTTGAGGATGGAGCTGGGGACACAGGCAGCTTCTGAAAAGGCAAGGGGACAGTTTCCCTGGAGCCCTACAAGGCAGGTACGTGGCCCTCCACCCCCTTCATTTTAGCCCAGTAGGACTCATTCCCGTCTTTGGACCTCCGACCCTCAGACAAGAAACTTGGGTTTGTTTAAAGCCATCAATCTTCTGGTAATTCGTTACAGCAGCAAAATGTCACTCAAACAGCAATGAGAAAGTAGTGCATTTTTTACATAGATACAAATAATCGTCTCAAAGATTCTTTTCCGATCAAGTGCAATGAACGGTTCTAAACATCATCCAGGTGTACTCACTGACAGCATTTCCATTTTCTTCTGACAACAACCTTATAATAACGCAGCAAAAGGTCACTCATACAGCAAGGAGAAACTAGATAGATACAAATAATCGTCTCAAAGATTCTTTTCCGATCAAGTGCAATGAACGGTTCTAAACATCATCCAGGTGTACTCACTGACAGCATTTCCATTTTCTTCTGACAACAACCTTATAATAACCTGGTCACATCATTTCTACAGGGGGAGAGACTGGAGCTCAGAGAAGTGGGACTTGCTCACAGTCCCCAGCCGGCCTTCCTGCTGCAAAGGAAGACGGGCCTCCCTGGGCGGGAGACAGGAGGGGACTGTGAATTTCCAGCATCTTGATGAAGCTGCATGTCCTTCCTCCCTCTGCAAGTCACGGGCTGGCCTGCTTTTGAAATCCACTTGCTGTGGCCTGGCTTTGCAGACTTCTGAAAGAAGCAACTATGTTCTTTCCTCCCAATATTCAGAACTGTGATTCTGATTCTGTTTCGATTTGGATTTTATTTCCCATCCCCAGATGCCTCAAAATAGGGTGAAATAATGATTCCACATCTCGTCTGCCACTGGCCAGCTCAGAAAGCACCCCCATAGCCAGCATGTCATGGTGCATCAGGACTAGGTAGGTAGCGGCCCTATTTCACAGAGAGAAAAACTGAAGCTTCAATAGGGACGAAGGGCTGCCTGCTCGGGGTGACACGGCTTGAAGCGGGTTCTTCTGACCCTCAGTCCATTCCCAAAGAACCTGGGAGGAGAGTCTAAAAGAAAAGCAGAGGGGGAGATTGGGAGAAAAGGGACCAAGAACTCTGGGCAGCCTCACCGCGGGTGCTGGGAGGTGCTGCCACCAAGCAAGGGGCCTCATGGCAGAGGACAGGGTGTCTCCGCTCAAGGCTGCTGCTGCGCTAGTGGGAGCCCGAGCACAGCACACTGGGCATGGTCCGGGCTTCCCTGCTAGGACCTGGTCGGTGGGACTTGGGGGGCTTTGAGAGCAGAGGAGGAAGAGCTCCCCATGCAATGGAGACCTACAAGTCTGGTCTTCAGGGACCCAGACTGCTGGGCCTGCCCCGTGCTGTTCTAGATCCAGTTCCACCCAGACCCTACAGGGCAGCCGTCTGAAGGCCCTGTGAGGGTTTGTTTCCAGGGCGCCACACTCTCGCCGTCCTTCCCGCCCCCCTCACGTGGGGCAGCAGGCCGGATGGGGGCTGCTGGTCCAGGAGCCACAGACCAGCTGTCCCTCTGGCCTCCATCGAGGCACGCAGTGACATGGAGAGTGAACCTCGGAGTCAGACTGAGTTCGGACCCTTCCTGGATCTGCCACGTCCCTGAGGGGTGCTGAGCGGTGCTCCTCGGCCCTGATCGCCCAGGGTCCAAGCTCACCGAGGGCTGGGGGGGGAGCACCGACAGGCCCAGTTGGTGCACCAAGGGCCCGGTGCTCGGCAGGGCTGCTACCGACAGCCTCAATCAGCATCCCTCGGTCTCAACGCTGATTTACTGCGGTGTGGTTTGACCTTGGGAACTCAGTAACTTCTGCCATGTGGACACCAGGGCTGGGGCTGCTCCTGATCAGCTGTGAGCTCTGTGGGGGGCGGGGGTGCACACAGCTCTAAAATGGGCCACTGCCTCGTCCCTGCAGGGAGCCTCGTTTAGTGCTGAGTTGCATATGCGTTTGGGGACTCTTAAGCCTGGGGGAGCAATATTTCTTCCGGGGACTTAATGTGGAAACAAAGCGCTAGTTCATACCCTTGAAGAAATTGGCCGCAAAGCCCGCTTTGTTGATGGAGCCGTCGGACACGAACTTCAGCCACAGCCTGTTGGAGCTGGATTTCACGTCCTCGGGCTTCTCGTAGCCACAGAAGTGGCCGATCAGGGCGTCGTCCCCGGTGGGGCCATCGCGGATTTCCAGGTAGTCGTACGCACAGTTGTCGTGCCTCTCGATCTAGAAGGAGGGACGGAGCAACCTGGTGACGAAGGATGGCTTGGCGCGAAGGTTTGATTTGAGGAGACCCAAATGTCACTCTCAAACGCTAACCAGTCAGAGGAAGTGGCTGCTCCGAGACCTTCCAGTGCAGAAGCCAAGGGTGCATTAAGCTAAGGAGAGGTGAAGATGGGCTGGCTATGGTGGGGGAGGCAGCTGGATTCCACGTGGTCGACTGAGTGGTTCGAGTACCGGACCAGGAGGGCTTGAAAAACGTGAAGGGAGCATTTGTGTGTATGCCCGAAATCCCAAGAGGAAAGAGAAGAGAAAGGACTGCGGTGTGCCCATCGCCTCTGTGTGTGTGTGTGTGCGTGTGTGTGCGCGCGTGTGCGTGCACGCGTGTGGGTGTGGGTGCTTTCTCACTTTCTCTCTTGCTGTTCTCTGGCACACACATACATCCTCTAGCAAACATTTAAAAATAATAATAAAATAAATTTTAAAAATTAATAATTTTATTTAACTGTATTTATTTATTTATTTTAATTTGAGGGAAAGTGAGAAAGCAAGCCACCAGGTCTAGGATTTGAACTGTAGTCGGTCAGGTGGGAATCTAGCACCCTTAACCACCATGCCACCTGCCAGTCCCAATAAAATATCATTTTAAAAAAAGAAAGATCGAGAAAACAAAACAGGGAAGAACAATTGTAGGAAGCTTCTGGAATGTCATCCTGGACTTTGGCTTTGGTAACTCCCTCTAAAGATCTTGGTATGAGATTATCACAGTGAAATCGCCCCACGCTGGGTCTCAAATGGATTCTTAGGGTTCTGTCTTTATCCAAACAGTGGAAACCCATCTTTGTAGTGGAGGATGTCTGGCCAAGGTCGCTGTTTCCTCCATCCGGGAAGGCCACCTGAGCAGACTCACCTCGAAGGCTTGGAAGGTGAGTCCCACATGGAAGCCCTCTGACACCGTGATCCTCCAGACACATTCCTTGGAAGGGGTGTAGTCATCGGGGTAGTTGGGAGATTGAATCTGACCGGCATCTTTGGTAATGTCTCCCCCACAGGTAGCTTTCGAGAAAGAGGGTCAAGGAGAGAGAGTGGCAGGCCGGGGCGATCTTAGGAAGAAAGGGGG